GTGACAGCTCCGATCACATCGATTCCCCAAACTGAAAATGGCCATGGGGACGTCATGTTGTACAGCTTTGACGGCGGGATGTTCATGCGGTTTGCATGGATCTGGCATTTGTGGCATCGCCGAACAAAGCCGATACAATCCTCTTCCATGGTAGACCAGCAGTAACCCTGTCTGAGGATCTTTCTGGCCAGCATTACCCCATTCATGTGTGCCCCACATTCTCCTCCGTGGATGGCCTCCATCAGGCGTTTCGACTCTTCAGCTTCTACACAGAGCTTATGCATTCCCAGATGACCTCTCTTATACAGTTTACCCCCGCAGATGATGAACTGAACAGCCATTCTTCTGATTGCCCTTTCATCCTTGGCATTTGCCCCCGGTGGATACGCCTCCTTTTTCAAGAAGTTCCAAATGTCGTAATACCAGGGGTTGTTGTCCTGAACTTCATTTATGGCAGCGATTGATTCATATGCCGGCACAAACTTCTGATCAATAATGACTGGACGCATCCGGACTCTGGACGGGATGTCTATCATGGAAGATAGAGTTGCTAGTGAATCTGCAAACCTGTTGTTCTCTCTTACTAGGTGGGTGAAATTTAGCTTCTCAAATCAAGGGATTAACAAATCCAAGGTTTGGTGGTAAATTATCATCCTTTCCTCTTTGACTTTCCAGTCTCCTTTTGCTTGAGATACAACAAGGTTCGAATCCCCAATGACGTCCAACCGTTTTGCCCCTAGTTCTAGGGCTGCTTCTAGGCCAGCAATATATGCCTCATATTCTGCTTCATTGTTCGAGACTTTGAACCGGAGCTTGAATGCTAAAGGGATACGGGAATCATTCGGCGCTATCAGCAACACTCCTATCCCATACCCGTATTGGTTCGACGCTCCGTCAAAGTACATCGTCCAAGTTTCATCTTCGATGTGCAGAATGGCTTCATCTGGGAATAGGTACTCAATCGCTTCATCCCCTTCAACCGGGTGGTCGGCAAGGAACTCCGCTACTGCTCTTCCTTTTACTGACTTGCGTGTTACATACTTCAGATCAAATTCGGAAAGCAACAGCAGCCAACGAGCTAGCCTACCCGTAAGTGCCGGTTTCTCGAAAAGATATTTGATGGGATCCAAGCGTGAAACCAACATTACAGAGTGAGCTAACAGGTAGTGCCGCAGCTTCCTGGTAGCCCATACCAAGGCCAAGCAAGCCTTTTCCAGCGGAGTGTAGCGGGTCTCGTAATCCAGCATCTTCTTGCTCAGATAGTAAATGGCCCTTTCCACTTTGTCTTCTGACTCTTGTGCAAGCATGCAGCCCATGGTGGTCTCAGTTACTGAAAGGTACAATATCAACGGTCTCCCTGGTTCTGGCGGTGACAACACGGGCGGGTTCTGTAAATATTCTTTGATCTGTTCAAAAGCTGCTTGACATCGGCCGTCCCATTGGAATTTCTTTCCTTTCTTTAGGAGACCAAAAAGTGGTTCACAAGTCAAGGTTAATTTTTAGATAAACCGTCTTATGAATTTCACTTTACCTAGAAAGGCTCGCACCTCCTTTTCAGTCATTGGTGGTGGCATTTCTAAGATGGCCTTGATTTTTGAAGGGTCGACCTCGATGCCCCTTTGCGTAATCAGAAACCCTAGCATTTTTCCCGCTGTAACACCGAATGTACACTTCTGGGGATTCAACCGCAACCGAAACTCTCTGATCCTTTGAAAGAACTTTTGTAAGGCGGTGTAGTGGCCCTCTCTTTCTTTGGACTTGACAATCATGTCGTCCACGTACACCTCGACCTCTTTATGAATCATATCATGCAATATCGTGGTTGCTGCCCGTTGATAAGTAGCTCCAGCGTTCTTCAACCCAAATGGCATCACTCTGTAGCAATATGTACCCCACGGGGTAGTGAATGCAGTCTTCTCCCGGTCTTCGGGTGCCATTACTATCTGATTATAGACTGAGAAGCCATCCATAAATGAAAGCAAGGCGTGCCCTACCATGAAATCCACCAATTCATCAATGTGCGGCAAGGGAAAGTTGTCCTTCGGACTGGCCCTGTTCAAATCTTTGAAGTCTACACATACCCGAATTCTGCCATCCTTCTTCGGCACTGGAACAATGTTGGCCAACCAAGTCGGGTATTCAGATACCAGCAGGAAGCCTGCATCGATTTGCTTGGTGACCTCTTCCTTGATCTTAATGGCCCAATCAGGGCGGATCCTTCTGAGCTTCTGCTTGACAGGTCGGGCCTCGGGATCAAGAGGGATCCGGTGCTGTACAATCTCAGGATCGATTCCAGGCATGTCTTCGTAGGACCACGCGAAAACATCTTTGAAATCTTTTAACAAAGCGACTAAGCGCTCGCGTTCCTCAGAAGACAACGTGGACCCGATCTGGACCAGCCGCGGGTCCTCCTCAGTACCAACATTCACGGTAGTGATTTCATCCATTAAGGGTTTAACAAATCTTTCATGCTCTTGATACGTCTCCTTTTCCAAGAAGTTCCAAATATCGTAATACCAGGGGTTGCCGTCTTGGGCTTCATCTATGGCGGAAATTGACTCGTATGCTGGCGCAAACTTCTGAGATCATTTGCCCCTTGCTCAAATCCATCCCCCTAGATCACACACAGTTCTTTGAAGTGTTCTTCAAGGGTATGGAACCTGATTCCGACTCACAAGACTCGGTGGAATCAGATTCCGGCTCACTACCTGACCCGATGCTGCTGGACAAAAATCCTTCTTCATATTGCTAGACGAAAGAGGGTGCGTTGGATGCATCCAAAATAGTTGCTGGTAGGCTCGCAGCCGTTTCGTTCCCGATCACGCATACCGAGGAGTTATCCCCCAAGCACTTTTGTTCGATCGGAGGATCTGAAAGTAGACATGCCAGTGCTACCCGCATTTCATTTTCAGCGTCCTCAGACTGCACTTCCTTACTATGTTCAGCCTCAGCCGATAGATCTGCCTTCCCTTCGGCGACGTCATTCTCAGGTAGCTGCAGGTCAAAGAAGATCTCGAAACCTGGCACGCGTTTCTTCTCCGCGTTCAACCACGGCTCTGGGAAGCCACAAAATGGAAAGTCTTCCTCTTCCCGGACGAAGCGTCCGTTTAGGGTACCCTGAATGGGCCTATGCATCAACTCAAAAGGCTTTCCGACCTTCTTTGCTCTGGCTCTCCCAGCCATCTCTTTACCTTTCCTTACCCAGTCTTCTTTGGTGGGCATATAACCCAAACCAAAGGTATGAGGGTTGTGTGGCACTTCGGCCGATGCTGCGACGCCATTCCGGCCGCTCTTTCCTACACTACAGCAAAAGTAATCTATGGTGACGAAAAGTAGTGAAGAAAATAAATTTTGTTACTAAATAAGAAAAATCCGTGACGAATTATTAAATTTTGTCACGTATAATAAAAAAATAAAAATAATAGGTGACGAAATTTGTTTTCGTCAACAAATACTTCTTTTTAGGTGAGGAAAAATTAAGTTTTGTCACCGAAGGTTTTCCTGTTAATTTTTTTTTTTTTTGTTGGCGCCAAAATTTGAGACTTTTGTTGAGAAATTTTTTTTGTCACCAATTATAAAATTATTAGTGAGGAATATATTTTTGTCACCAATAATTTTGTATATATATTTTTTGAGAAACTTAATTTTAAATATTTAAAACCATTTGGTGAGAAATATATTTTTGTCACTAATAATTTTTAATATTTTGAGACATTTTAGTGAAGAAATTATTTTGTCACCAATTTTGGAGGAAAAATTTTGACATATTGGGTGGTAATGGAAAAAATAGACAACTAACTTTTTTCCCCTTTTTATTTTTGTTTATCAATTTCTCTCTTTCTCTCTCTTTTTCAAAACAAAACACAAGTTAATTAACTCTCTAAACCTATGGTGACGAAAAGTATTGAAGAAAATATTTTGTCATTAAATAAGAATAATTCGTGACGAATTATAAAATTTTGTCACATATAATAAAAAGTAAAAATAATAGGTGACGAAATTTATTTTCGTCAATAAATACTTATTTTCAGGTGAGGAAAAATTAAATTTCATCACTAAAGATTTTTCCTCTAATTTTTTTTGGGTGGTGCCAAAATTTTGAGACTTTTAGTGAGAAAAAAATTTGTCACCAATTATAAAATTATTAGTGAGGAATATATTTTTGTCACCAATAATTTTAAATATTTTTGAAAAAAATTATATTTAAATATTTTAAAACTATTTAATGAGAAATATATTTTTATCGTCAATAATTTTAATATTTTAAAATTTTTAATGACAAAATTATTTTATCACCAACCAATCTTAAAGGGAAACTTTGAGATTTAGCAGTAATGAAAAAAAGGAACCCTACTAATTCTCCCCTACCCTTTTTTTCCTTTTTTTTTGGTGCTCCAATTTTCCTCTCATCCCTCTCTTGCAAAACACACAAAGGTATGGCCTCTCTCTCTCTCTCTCTCTCTCTCTCTCTCTCTCTCTCTCTTTCTCCACTACAACAAAACTGAGTTTTTACGGCTCTACATTAATGACATACAGTAAATGCAAGGCGTGATTTCTCATTTTTACGATTTAGTTTTTTTTCATGTCGTAAATAATTTTCCAACTACGGCGTGTCTATTGCGTAGGCCGTAAATGCTAATACTGAAATTTTTTTTACGGCTTACAATGTTAGTCATAAATAATAAAACTTTCTAGGACGTGCATATGACATGTCGTTAATATATCAATTATATACGACACGCATACACCAGCCATTAAAAATATAAAATATTTCACGGCGCATAAAAAGTCAATCATTAAAAATATTATACTTTTTACGACGCATAAAAAGTCAATCATTAAAAAATAAACTTTTCATGACACACATATACTAGTCATTAAAAATATTTTACTTTTCACGACATACAACTCCTATCATAAATAATATAACCAAAATAATAGTAAGTGCCAAAACAAAATACTCACGCCAAATATTAAAATGATATACTCTTGAAATTGGGCATAGTTCTCCCTGCCCCTCTCTCTCTGCAAATGCTAAAAACTCAACTAGTGATCTGCAGAAGCTCCTCTACCACACCCTTCCATTTCAAACCCTAAATCATATTCTCACCAATTTCTCTCTCTCTCCCCTCCAATTTCTCTCTCTACAACCGACAACGGCCATGGCTCTTCTCTCACCAAATTCATCGATCTAGAGCTGCCATGGAGACTAGCAAAAGGTGAGAGCGGGTTTTTAGAGACTTCCATTACCTTTTACCCGTTCCGAACTCGCTCAACACTCACCATGGTTAACCCTCTTCCTATTCCCTTCTTCAGATCTAATTTCTATGTACTCTTTTACTGTTTTCTTGTTGGGTTTTTGATTTTTTGGAGAAAAAATTGTGTTTTTGACTTTGGGTTTTTTGTGTTAGATGGATCGGTATTAGAGGGTAGAGAAACCGAGGCCAGAGACGCCGATTAACGAGAATGAGATTGGTATAACCACTCAGGGGAGGATGAGGAACTAAATTATTTATGCTATCACTCTGTTTCAGGTCTCTCTCTCTCTCTCTCTCTCTCCCTCTCTCTCTCTCTCTCTCTCTCTCTTTCATTGAAAAATTAGGGTTTTGATTGAGCAAATCAAAAATTACAATTGTGTTTTAGGTTGTGAAATTTTATTTATTTATTTATTTATTTTCTTGAATGTGAGTTGGGGAAAATGTTTGAATCTGAATTAAAAAAATTAAAACCTGAATGTGAAATTAGGTTCTTGGTGACGGAAAATGTTTTTTTTGAATTTTTCCATCTTGTTATTGCTTTTCTCTGCATCCAAATTGAAGGGTTATGGTTGTTTTGATGTTTGATAATTGTTTTGGGTCCATCTTCTTCTTTTTCTTCTTCTTTTTCTTCTTCTTTTTTTTTTTTTAATGAAACAATGGAAAGCTTGAAATTGGTAAGTTTTTGAGGTAGATCTGTTGATTGTTTTGTTTTTTCCCATCTTCTGCTTATCCATCCAATTTCTTGACATAAACAATAGTTTGTCCTACTTGAAGTCTGAATTACGAAAATTAAAGGCCTGCCTTAGACATTTTTAAAAAATTTATTACTGTCTTGAATTAAGATCAGTATTTCTGGTGTGAATGCCCTCTCACTTAATGTAGAAACTCAAGTTGGTTTGATTATTTTAATTTCCAATTGGCTTTGTTCTTCTCAATATGGAAGGAAGATATTAAAGTTCATCACATTTTTGTGCCCTGTTGACCATTCTCCATATTCAATTTCTTCCTTATTATTTTCTTATGTTAAAGTATGTGAATTACTACATGGGTTAACCTTTACCTGTTCTATGCTTAATGACCTGGCATGGCTTACATTCTGGATTGTAGACACCCCATTTTTGACCGACCTTAAGACTCAGACGTCACCAGTTGAGCACTCGGTGATTTTGCATATCGTGCTCGTTCAAAAGTTTCAGAGTCGCGACCGTGAGCCCTGCCTCCGGACTTCCGAACCCTCTTCTGTGCCTTGTCTCGGTTTGCGAACCAGGCTCGGTTTTCTTTGTTTCTTTTCCTGAGGGGAGGGAGAGGTCTTGTAGACCATCTCTCAGTGGCCGTGGGCTACATTTGGTGGCCGTAGGCCATTTTGCCCATTTCGGAGCCCGGTTCCCGATTTTCGGGACTGTTGGCCGTGTGCCTCTGTTCGGGACCGCCTAACCATCTCCGTTTCCTCTGGTTTTTGGGCATATGTCTTATTTTCTCCCTTTTGAGGGACACTGGAGTCTGAGAAACCCACTTCGTGGCCGAACGCCACTTTCGGTGCTTAGTAGCCCATTTTCGGGACCCCGAACTGCGTGTTTTGGCCCCCGAGGGTTCGTTTTGCATCGGTTCTTGTTCATTTTCAGCAGGTGCCTCTGTTTTATCACCAGGGAGGTCACTGGAGGGTGGGAGGCCAGCAATTATCTTGGCAACCAGTCATATTCCATTTTCACCCTCCGACACCCGCCTTTCGCACTTCCGAGCCAATGTTGAACACCTTAGAGCTACTTTCTTCAACCCCAAACCACATATTTGTGTTGTACACACATGGGAGGACCCTAAAAGTTCATGCCCGGCCAGAAAATCCAATTGACCCTTTTGAACTCCTCCTTCCGAGCTAATGTTGAACAACCTGGGCCCTTTTTCTTGAACTTTGAACCACATATTTGTGTTGTACACACATGGGAGGATCCTAAAAGTTAGTGGCCGGCCATTAATTCAACTTGACCCTTTTGACCCCCTCCTTCCGGGCTAATGTTAAACCC